TGAGAGGCTGCGGGGCCGGGGCAGCGGCGGGCGGGGGCCGCGCGTCCAGCGCCATCCCGGGCTCTGAGGGGACGATCCGGGCAGCGCCGGGGCGCTGTAAACAACAGGCTGCTGCTGCAGCCCTCGCTTATGAAACAGCGGCGAGCCGGGGCTGCGGGTGAGCACACGGAAGGGGAGAGCGGGGATGATGGATGGATGGACGGATGGGTGGATGGATGGATGGATGGCCCGGGCAGCGCCACAGGCACGGCTGGCTGGGAAATGCGGAGCGGGGCCTGCGCCGCCGGCAGGTTCAGCGCCACAGCGGGGATTGCGGCTGCAGAGGCAGAAATGCCTCACCTGGGAACTCGAAAGTCATCAGGAAAATTTTTCCGAGGAAATATTTTAGTTTTTTGTTTTGTTTTTTGCTCATTTAAACGGTAAATATTGCCGTTTTCCTAAGATTACTACTCAACACAATGAATCGCCTGTCATTTCTATCATTAAACCAGAATTGTCACGTTTAAGAGGATGTAAAGAAAAAAGTACGGGTAATGACTAAAAACACTTGTAAAGCCAGACATCCCCCTGCTCTGTAAAATACAAAGCCTGGTAGCAAAGACTTTTGATCTTCTGAGACAATATACAGGCAAGTTATTCAGTGGCTGATGTAATTCAGTCTGGAGTAATCAAAGCTACATGCTTAAGGATAAACCTACCTAATGGAATTACATGATTGTATCCATGCCTGTGCTTAGTCACCTTTGCACTCACCAGAATGCATAGATTTGCAATATCTAGTTCCAGTCTGCTGCTTTGCTTGAATCGAGTCATAACAGTTCAATGAGACCTAGTTTTGGTTCCCTTCAACTGTGAAAAAAACAGCTTTTTTCTTTCTTAAAAACCTAAAACAACAGATGCTTCCTGAAAACAAACTGGTTTTCAGTGCTTGAAAATAGAATGAGGATGGAAAGACAACATAAAGATATGATACAGTCCACTCATACACAACAGTATAGCTGAAGGACTGATGTAAGAAAATGAACCAAAGAAGTCATGTTTTCCCACAAAGGTGAAAACAACCTCTGAAAACAATAGAACTTCTGGTGCTGCCACAGAAGCTACTTCTCTGAGGAAATCCAGCATGGGACAGTGGAATAAAAATTTGCTTGCCCAGCTAAAATTACTGTATTTTTAGCCTGATTTCTGGCTCAGCTTATGTTACTTAGAAGAAAAATGCACACAAAACAACTGCAGTGGGAAATAAAACATGAAAGTTGACACAATTTTGGGACAAAGTTTGTACTATGGCTGAAGAGTCAAAGGATTAGCACCAGGGAGATGCAGTCACGTCCCCATATGCTCACAGACCCCACACGGTATAACTTCGCCATCTGGTTCATGGAGTATAGCATGTTGTCTAGTAGCATTCATTTTCATTGCACAATGTTTATTGTGGATTGATTAAATCTTGCTCTCCCTCTGGAAAGAATCCAGGTACATGTACTTATACTTTGCTATAGGTGCTGACAGAGAAGCACACAAAACCACGGGAGAATGGGACAGGCAGAGTACGTGACATGGGAAATCGCCTGCTGCACCAGCTCTACACTGTCCCTGAAATGGGCTGCCATGAATAACAGCCATGATTTTAAGGCTGTGTTTTGAGTTGTACTTCAGTGATTATTTCTTGTTTCTGCATTCTGGAAAGCGACTTTGCACAGTTGCCTTGAAGTTCACTTGGTTTCAGTTAAAATGCTGTCTCTACTGATGATAAAGCAAAGACGGCTGGACCACAACTGCTGATAGTAGCATACTTTTTAAAGAATTTGAGCTATTCTGAGAGGAAATGATAGCTGATTCTTGCCTTTTTGGAAAGTCAGGCTGCCCTGATATTAGGTTCCCTGGACTACAGAGGTCCATTGTTTTTTTTGAAGCTAAATGGTTAAAAGGTTGGAAGTCTGAATACAAACTGACCTATTTAAAAAAAAACCAACAAAACCAAACCACCTCACCTCATTTCCCAGTATCCTCTAGTCTTTGTCAATTTTATCAGTGACCCAGTACACATCCACCATACTGTCTTGGATGTGCCTCCTAAGAAACTCTTTTTTTTTAAGGTAAAGCTTATTTAAGATATTAGGAGATCTTTATTTTCTATCATACTGGGAAGATTTATGCTTCAGTTTATATCCTTACACTCTTCAGTACCTTTATGTATTTTTAGCTATATACAAGGTGCTGTTTGACAATTTTAAAAAAATTGCAGTAATATATACATCAGTACTTAATGATAGTTTACACTTTACTTCTGTTGAGTGTCCTGTATCGACTAATTTGCCACTAGTTTCATTTAAATCAAAACAGAACATGTATTAGTCTAATGAAATTTTTAATAACAGTTTACTTTCTTCTAGACTAAAAACATCTGTTATGTGATATGTGTGATCTTAAAATTAAAAATGTTTTCTTCGCATACATTGCATTTTATTTATGATGTTACATTTTAACAAACCTTTCACTATTTCTCTCTCTACAGAAAAGCTGGTAACCAGCAAAGAAAACACAAAAGCTAAAATCACTATGTGGAGCTGTGAAGCCTTAATCAACAGTACCGAGAACAGCGAGGACCAGCATCTCTGCCATGACTTCGACCTTGTGCTTTCCATCTTTTCCCTTCTCTACCTCTGGCACCAATGTACCTGCTGGGTCTTGCCAATACAAAATGGGCCATCTGGAATTCCAACAATGAAGTTTATATTACCTTTCTTATTTTATTCAACGTCTCATCGTTAGTTACCATGTACTCTACCACACTGCTCAGTCTGGACTACTACATCGAACGCGCCCTGCCCAGGACTTACATGTCCAGCGTGTACAACACCAAGCACGTCTGCGGGTTCATTTGGGGCGGTGCCATGCTCACGAGCTTTTCATCTCTCCTGTTCTACGTCTGCAACCACGTGTCCACCAAAATAATCGAGTGTTCCAAGATGCAGAACCAGGAAGCAGCAGATGCCATCATGGTGTTTATCGGGTACGTCGTACCCGCCGTCGCTGTTCTCTACGCACTGACGCTGATCCTGCGGATACGCAAGGAGGCCACGCCCCTGGATCAGGACACTGGGCGCTTGGATCCATCGGTGCACAGGCTTCTGATCGCCACAGTCTGCACACAGTTCACCCTGTGGACACCCTATTATGTTATTCTCTTGGTAAGCACATTTACTAACCTACGAGGAAGAATTCCAGATGTAAATTCCATTCAGATATTACACTTTGCAACGATTTTGTCAAAATTCCTGGCTTTCTCCAGCAGCTTTGTCATGCCTCTGCTCTACAGATACATCAACAAAAACTTTCCCAACAAATTGCGACGTTTGCTTAAAAAGATACACTGTGGGAGCCAAGGCTGTTCTCACGAGCGCACAGTTGTACAGCAGGTCATGACATAGGTGTGACACAACCCCCGGTGCTCTGTGACTGCAGCACTGGCTGCTCAGTGCTGGGACTGTGACGCTGCTGTGCTGGCACTCAGAGACATTTGAGAGTCCCAACCAAGAGGCTGCAAGGAGCTTCCATTGCAGTTGAATGCAACAGTCTTAATTTTCCAGTAGTTGTTTGCTGAAGTGGTGTGAGGCTCTGGCCTGTGTGCTGCATTACCTGTGACATCAGATACCTTCAGTGCACTGAACTGGTGGCAAAGGATGAACTCTGTTTTCATGGCTCTGATCTTCCTGTCTGAAGAAATCACTAAGCAGTTTATTGAAGTCTTGACTGAAGACACAGCACCTTGTATCTTGTATAGGAAAAAGGTATTACCTTGTTTTCTGTACAAAGAAGTGATAGTGCTATCCTTGATGAAGTAAATAGCATTTTTCAATGAAGATTATATAGATGATCTTTACTAAAGATCATATTACCCAATTATACATGTCCAAATAGTAAATGGTAATTATAAATTAAATTATTTAATTTCTTTCTCCATCACTGAATTCCCTCTAAAAGAAGCCTAATTTACTTTTTTCAGAAATTATTTTCTCACACAAACTAATCTGTTGTAACATTTATGGTAACCTGATTTTTCTTTTAGCTACAACAAATAACAAAAATGTGTTTTAATTTTCCAGTGCTTTGTTTGTATCCTAAAACATTTCAGAAATTCAGAAATATTTATTAACTAATTTTGATGGAACTTAGAGATGTTTGTTCCACATACTAAAATGAAGGACACAGTGGTTTACAAAGTTAAATCAGAATTCAACTAGTAAAGATTGTCTGGCTAAGTGTTATGGTCCACATATGTTCATGTAACAAGAGTAATTATCTTAAAAAATAAATATGTTTATGATTAACATTTTGTATTTTCAAGGGATATGTTTGCAACAAATAAATTAAACACTCTTTAATCTAGGACATCACTGGAGGTTTGGAAACCATATAAAATTCCTCCAAAAGAATCCCAGTCAGCAACAGCTCTTTGCTGACCTCTCAGAAAAGCCTTCCATTAGGATTCTTGGAATCCCTAGTAAATTCTAGTTTCACAGTAGGGATGAAGAAATCCAGTCCAGATCACCAAATTTTACTGATGACATCAAGTACGTGAGAAACACAGACATGCTGCAGGAAGCACATAAAAAGTTACAACAACAAACTACAAAGCACTGACCCAAAAACTACCTGGCCTTGTCTTATTGCTGCATTAATGATGAGAGGGAACAGGAGGGGGGTAAAAGTGAAGCTGACATTCTCCCACTGGTGTGGGGCCACAAGACATTTTTGTCACTTGATACATGCTACAGCATTATTTTATTGCTTAATCTGTCACAGCACAACTCAAATTCCACATGACATCATTAAAAAAATGTGACTTTTCAAGCTTCTGGTACAAAAAAAAAAAAAAGGAACAAGACCAGAACTGAACTTTTCCCATTGCTTAGAGCACAATCTTGTCTGATGACTGGTCCTAGTCTGTCAGCAGAGACACATACTAAAGTTCTATGTAAAAAGCAGGTGAGGAACAGACCTTTCAGATCTTTTCCCATCAAGCGATTTCTTCCCATGGTCATTTTTGCTTATCTTCTTTATACACAAGCATCTCTTAGTTATCAACATCCTGGTGGAAGACTTTCCATTAATCTTTACTTTTTAAAACAGCTTTTCACATTCTATTGAATATTTTTAACCCTTAAAGCCTACAGAGTAAATAATCTATTTCTGTGGTGTTTTCAGTTTTAGTCTGTTGATGAAAACCATGTTAAGGACTGAAGCTGTTCCTTATCACTGTGTCAAACTCACACACTCATTTACAGTGCCTCTATGCTGACATACATGATACTGGCTGCTTTCTTGGTTTTGTCCACCTTGAGAGATTTACTATGAATTTCTACACATCTTGACCACTCAAGCTCAACTTCCACAAAGTGCTTAAGAACAAAATCTTTCCTTACAGCTGTCAAGCAGACTCCTTCTTCCCATCTGAGGAAAATTACTGCCAGAACAGTGCGGCTGAGCAGGCAACTTCAAGCGCAATTTCAACGTCCATGTTGCTTCCTTACTTCCATTTCCTCCTTCTCTTAAGATATCTTATTTTCTGTCTCTAAAAGAACTGTTGCCTTTATTTCTGTTCCTTTCTCTCCATGTTAAATTCTCGGTTTTAGATCATGGCTCTCGTATCATTTCTCTTTATCGTTTTTCACTTCTCTGCACAATTTATTTAACTTTCATTTCCCTTCCATCTCTGCTTGTCTTGCACACCTGGTACCATTCAATACTCATGTTTACTTCATCACACTGACTCCTTTATGATGATCCATATCTTACTCAGTGATCTGACATTACAAACAAATCTATGTAGTAAAATGGAAGCTGCTATTTAAGAGATGTAGAAAGACAGATTTTTATGGAATTTATCCGTGGGGTATCCAATCTGGTTTTTTCCTAATATTTTTTACTGCAATAGAGCTACGGATGTTTGTCTGTATCCTTGATAAATACTAAATGTGATGGCAAGCATAGATACAGCAACTTGGATAATTTAATGAACAAAACTGCTATCCACTCAACCTCTTTGCAAAGCTAATTTGATGTATTAGTTGCCTCAAAGAAACTGTGCTGTGGATCTGCTTGGCTGCTGTTCTCCTAAGGAAATTCTGAACTTAATTGTAGCACCCTCACCTGGTGTCTCTTAAAAAGCAGCATCCCAAAAAGAGAGAGCTTTGCAGTTTTTATATAAAGAACAGTAGAGGAGCAAGTGCAGTAAAATACTTAAGGAAATACAAGGTATCGTAAATTAGGAAGAACTTTTATGGACAACTGTTTAATACACAAAATTATTGAGAATAGGGCCTTTCCATTTCAAATACCTGAAGGTTTCTGGTGACTGTAAATAGGAGCTTATCTATTACACATTTAAATAGATATGAATAAAATACTGTATATATGCAAGATAAAAATCAGCCTACTGATGTAAAAAGAATCTGCAAAGAGTTTATTAAATTATTTCTAAAAGTGTATCATTTAAATGTAAACCTCTGAACAGGAAGGTGTACTGTATGCTTCTGTATGTATATAATGTGTACTAGAAAGTAAGCACTAGTTAAGTGCCGTTATTAACAGTGTTATTTTCTCACAAAATTAATATTTTAATTGATCTGTGGCTTATAGCCCTTTTGCTGAACTGCTAATTAAATCAAATCAACGAACTAACAAAAATGTCATGCTCTGCTGAGCTGTTAACAGCTAGCTCAAGACAGGTCTTTGTTGACTAACTTAGTAGAGGTTCTAGTTTCAAAAGTTTACATTTCAGAATCAAATTTTGTTGGTCTCTGAAGATTTTTTTTTCAGTTAATAAAAGAAGGTGATCAGCCACTAAAAAATTCCTGGTTCTATTACAATGAAGAGATGTGGACTCCAATATCATGTCAAAATACTACAGAAATGGACTTTCTGGAATGCTTCATAGAGGAATTATTGACTCAGAATACATTCTCAATAAAAAGTGTACAAGTGAACATGGTCAATAAAATGTGTGGGGGTTTTTTTGTTTGTTTTTGGTGGGCTTTTTTCTTTCTTGATAAAAACATGTCGTAGGCAAACCTGTGTGGCTTCACTGAATTAAAACATAACAAATTGCACAACTTGGATGTCAAATTTCCAGGCTTTAATTTGGCATTATTAAAATCTCATTATTCATCAGCATGAAGTTGGCTGGGAATGAAAGCTAAAAGGCACATAGCTCCCCTGACTTTTTTCAGCATAAAGAATCCTGCAATTAATGAGGCAGAGTAACAGTGCACCTGGAGATCAATGCAAACATTGGCCACATCCTGACAACTTCCTTTCCTTTGTGCTGCCACAATCAGCTTCCTGCAGAAATTCTCCTGGTTCTCAGAACAGCATAATAAAATAACCCACACCTCTGGCATCCCAAAGAAAACAAAGGTTTTAAGAACCTAAGATACCTTATGACACATTCATTGCAGTAACCACTGCACATAACCAGAAGATTACTCCCCATGGATCAGTTAGTTTACACTACATATCTGAAAATATTTTCTTGGCTATACTTTCAAAATTACTCATTTGTTCCCTTTCGGTGTTCTGTGAAGTGTAGGAAGACAGCAAACTCTATTTAAAATGATTATTGGTAAATGCTTTAAAAAACTCTCAGTCCAAGGCACTCCTAAGTTTTATGTCTCAGTCAGAAATAAATGAAAATGGCAACTGACAGAGTGGAAGTTGCAATATTAACACCATTTACTCAAGCCTAGTATCTGACAGGATGCCCTCACTTCCATACTGTGTTTTAAAGGGTGTTTTCTTTAATAGGAGAGCCAGCATCTCTGAACAATTACAGAGCAGTGATTTTCTGATCCTTCATTCCACAGAGCTTTTGGATACAACCAACAGAAAGGCTGTTTTCAGCTGGATTAGTAAAATCCCTCATATACAACACAGACTGAAGGATCTTCAGTGAGAACAGAGTTAGTTAAGAAACAGCAAGTTCAAAGCCCACAGGTTTCTGAAGAATGAACAACAACATAAATGCAAGTGAAAAGGGTTGATCAGGTACAACAAAGTCAAGATGTTTACACCAGTACAAACCAGGCTGACATTGCACCTGAATCTGCCATTATCTGTCAATACAGAGACATCACAGAAGTCAGCCACACTGTGGAGCATGCACAGAAAATACTCCATTAACTACTATACAACAGGAGAACAGGCCCCAAGGTTGTGAAGAAAATACGACACTGCTACCACAAACCTCAGAAGGAAATAACATCTTTTTTTATTTTCCTTGTTTAAAACTAAGATTCAATTAAACTGTTTTTGTGCTGTGGGTATGTGCATAGATAATGCCCCATTTATCACTGCTTAATAAAAATGAAAGCAGCCCAGTGTCTAGGCTGGAGACCTCGTGAGCTTCACTGCAGGAGCACAGGACTGGAAAGACCCAAGAAAAGCAGAACCTGCCCGAGTACCATTCTCAGTTCCACTGCTCACTGAGGGCTCAGAGAGGAATTGATTCTTGCCTAAGTTTCTGCTGCTGTGAAGTGCTCATTGCACTGATGAATTCTAAACATCTGCTCCTAAATTAATTTATGTAGTCTCTTATTAAGCAAAACCTTGTGTGTTTCTTGGGTATTTTGTGCAATACTTTTTCCAAGTGAAAGCAATCTAATGGTACAAACCCAGCTGTGCAGACTGCCATGGCAACAAATCTGAAGTGTGAAATGTTTCCTCTGTTGAATTCCTTAAGTTTTCCATTATATATCAAAACACTTTGACATATGCTGACTACATTCTTTTTCCATCAGGAGAGCAGAGGCTCTATTATCTCCTTTGTCATCCCACTTTCTTCCCACCAAGTCCTTCCCTTACCTTGAAATTCCATGTGATTTCCTTATATTCCTGGCACTTTTAATTACATCTTCAAGAATTGTCAAAAATATTCACAGTCAGCAGCAGGGAAAATTTCCATATTATTACAAATCATGGCAGTAAAAGATTTTAAAACACAGGATTCTCATCAGAGTATTTATGAATTAAGTATAAAAACATACTTTAAAAAATCCTTTCTATCAGAAGTTCTTTAAAGCAAGATTCATAACCAGAAGTGAATCCATTTTATCTGGTTTAAAGAGCACTTGCATGCTTTTTTCCCCCCTTTTCTTAAATACATTATCCCAGAGGTGCTGCCCCAGGCACTGATGGGCTCAGCCTTGGCCAGTGGCAGGTCCATCAGAATCTGCTGGAATTGGATCTGTTGGACATGGAGAAGTTTCTGGCAGCTTCTCACAGAAGCCACCCCTGTATCCTCTCCCTGCCTTTGCTATCCAAACCTTGCTGTGCAAACCCAGTACAATTACAGATTACAAAGTGAACTGAAAAGCCTAATTTTAGCGCCCCCCCCCCCCCAATTTTGCAAATTTAAGCTAAAATTTATCTTGAAATCAGTAGAATTTCTGCACTGTTTCTTATCTCTGAAACCTTTAAAAGATCATTTTGAAATGAATTCTGGTATTTGTTAATCAAAGCTGTTTTAGAAACTCCACCTGGTGGTCACTGGCAGAATGCTCTTGCAGTTCCTGAAAGCAGTAAGATCAGTAAAATGACTTAGATTTAAATTTATCTACAGGTGGGGGGAAAATCAGTCTCAGTTTCTTGTTAAACACAGATTTGTACAGCTGGTCCTGCCTGCAGGCAGTGAGGGTATTGCTATAAGTATTTTTAGGAAATAAAATTAACCTCAACTTGGACACCCAACTGCTGCTGTGAGGAAGAGGCAGGTAAGAGACAATTCTGTTGCAAGAAACAAATCTCAACAATGGTTAATTAATAGCTAATGGTTTTGAACATCACAGAAGGATATTTAACCAGACCACTAGGTCTGACTATTCAC